TGTGTGTGTGTGTGTGTGTGCACAACACTTAGCCAATGTAACTTTTAAACATATATATTATGTAAAGTGTATCCTGTGTGCTCTGACACTTACGTGGATGTCTCTGGGCCAAGCCACTCACCTGAGAACGCATCTGCTTTACCTCATATTTCATATCGCACACAGTAGGTGTCTGTTCACAGCACCTTTATTACATGTGCAGATATGAGGATAATCTGTCATTGTTATGCAGGTGTGTAGAGTCTCTGCTGCGTCGCGGTGCGAACCCCAACAGGATCGTCGGGGACGGAGTGTCAGCGGTGCATTTAGCTGCAGGTAAAGAGTCTGAGAAAGGACTGCGCTGCCTCAAACTCATTCTGCAGCACGGAGCGGATCCGAACCTCAGGTCAGTTACACCAGCACTTCACAGCTATGATCAAGCAGTGCACAGCAGGGCCCTTATTCATCCTAGTGACACATTCTATTCCTAGAAAAGTGAGCGTTTCCCCTTGAAATTAAAGAGAAGATCCTAGTAAAGATAAAAGGTATTCACAAAGCATCTTGACCCTTAAAAGAGCCCTTAAGGTCAAAAAGTGTTAGGAGTAGGGAGGAGGATTTAAGAGGATTAAGAGCTTCTTTAGCAGAGGAGAGAATGGACGAAACATGAAGAGGGAGAAGAAATGTGTTGCACACAATGCATGACCGTGAGTTAACCAGACGCTACACATTAGATGGTGCAGGGATCATGTTTGTGGCCGATCTTATTAGAGACACGCTAACATCACAGCGCTGAAATGCCATAGTGCCAGAAATGGAAGTAAATCACTACATGAACATATCTGGCAACTGGAACAATGCAGCTATGCAGCAGTGATGATTTGGGTCTGTCACAACCTTCTAAAAGCTAAGTGATCACACAAACTATTACAGCACTTTCAGAACCCTAATGTGTGCTGTTCATTTCCTATAAATGTTTTTAAGTATGACAGCATGGTAAATAAAAAATAAAGAATATATATACAGTTCCGGTCAAAAGTTTGGGATCAGAACGATTTTTAATGTTTTTTTTACAGGAGTTTATTCTGCTCATAAAGGCTGCATTTATTTGATCAAAAATACAGGAAAAATGTAATATTGTGAAATATTATTATGATGTAAAATAAAGTTTTACTATTTTAATATACATTAAACTGTGCTGTATTTCTGTGATGCGCAGCTGTATTTTCAGCATCATTCCTCCAGTCTTCAGTGTCACATGATCTTCAGAAATCAGTATAATATGCTGATTTATTATCAGTGCTGGAAACTGTTGCTGCTTCATATTTTTCTGGAACCTTTTTTTCAGGATTCTTTGATTAATAAAAAGTTAAAAAGCAGAGCATTTATTTAAAATAGAAATCTTTTCTAACAATATACACTACCGTTCAAAAGTTTGGGGTCAGTACATTTTTATTCTTTCTTTTTTGAAAGAAATTTTAACTTTTATTCAGCAAGGATGTGTTAAATTGATAAGAAATGCGAGCAAAGATCTATATTGTTAGAAAATATTTATATTTTTAATAAATGCTGTTCTTTTAAACTTTTTTTATTCATCAAAGAATCCTGAAAAAAGTACCGCAGTTTCCAAAACAATATTTGGCAGCACAACTGTTGATAATTCT